TATATATATATATATATATATATATACATATACATAAAGAAAGAGCGAGAGAGAGGGAGAGAATTATGTAATAATGTCAAATAATTAATATAAATAATGTGTTATCAAACTTAATTAATTTTTTAAATTAACTTAGAACTTGATCTTACCGATGTAAAGTAACTGAGAGATAATTCGGGCAGAAGGCAAGGTATTGACATTGTTATTGGTTTTTGACTTCTCATTATAATAATTTGCAAACATTTCCATACTTCAATTAAATGATTGTTTTCGAGTATATAAAATGCTGTTTGTGCGACGTCTTTACTCTAGTTACATAAACATATTTTAAAATAAAGTTAATTATATTATAACAAAATGTAATAAGTTATTTACCGTATACATCAAATGTTCTGCTGGCCAAGTATATATAAATACTTCTGCTATACCTACTACACCCAATCCGGAAAACTGGAGTATTACTGCTATAGGTTGATGCTGTTTAAAATAATTGATTGACGCATTATTTTATGTTAACGTTCTTATACACTAAATTTTTTGAAGGAATTGCAATGCCTTCTTTTTGCATAGTACATAAAAATATTATGATGGAAGGTACGATGGAAGATACGATGGAAGGTACGATGGATACGATAAAATTGAGTATATCTGATGGCCATGATATTTATATACTTCGATCCCGCGCAACTCGCGTAAAGGAACACGATAGTGTTGCTGCACTTGTCTTAGTGCCGAGACACTATCGTGACTCCTGATTTATGTACAAATTTAGAAGAAAATATATTCAAATATAATATATTTTTATAATATTACATATACTTACACTAATGAGCAAAAGAAAGACTACTATTAAGCTAATCGTGCTACAATATATAGTTGTAAATGCGAAAGGACGAGCAGCATTTGTAACTTCTTTTGCATAACTGAATAAATGCATACGATAGGATTATTTAAATCTTTCTAACTAGATTATTCTTATGTTAGTTAATGTTTGTAATATTTACATTAGTAACTTTTGATGTTTTTTAATACATTTAAACAACTGATAAACATTTGCAGTTTTTTCTAATTCTTTAGTCAGTATCTCAAATCTTGCGGATGCAAACCAAAGCAACATTGCCATATAAACATTCATACATAGTTGTCCTGCTACCATTATTCCGGCCATAGATTGTTGCATAAAAATTATTGTTTTTACTGGTTGATAAGACACATCAAATGGATATTCGGCCAATGTTGGAAATGGTTGATGCTCTAAAGCAGGTATCACTGTGATAGCTGTGAACGTAAACCAGTAGAAAATAAATATAGATGTACCATGAAATATAATACATTTATCAATGTAGCGTTGAATCACAACTTCTTCATGAGGTTTCATCACGTTGCAAAAATTTACTATTTCAAAAGTAGCAATCTGCAAATAATTACTTAAAATAATTGATACATATAGAATGTAGTAATAAAATGTGAATCTTTAATTAATTTGCACGTAAATTTTTTGACATTAAATATTAATTACCTGTATATGATGATAATGAGTTATATGAAAAATAAAGTTAAAAGATGTGTGAATGATGCTACTTAATACAACAATTTGGTTTACTAACACGGCAGGATCATCAAGATGATTTGTGATACCGTATATCAATGGTAATTTTAGACCTGTCGTTACAATTATGCTCAAACAATGATATAATGTCATACAAAACATTTTAAATTTTGTCGCATCTTGTGGCAAGGGCCAACACCAAATTGGGAACACACTTAACTTCACGGCGGAGATCACTTCTTTTAGCATCACTTTTCGCATAATTGAAGTATGCTATATATGTTATAAATGTATTGCAAGTTGATATCATGAAAACTCTTTTGCAAACCGTTGTGTAATGAATACGTTGTGTAATAGTTACGTTTGCAATAATATGATGAAAGGGTGTTACTGTAAAGGGGAGTTACTGTAGGAGAACATATATTCTTGCGTTTTTCCGTTTCGCGTGGGGTATACGTAAATAAAATTATCATGATGTAATAATATGATGTATGTGAAAAACGGATAGCTTTGCGTGTTTGAATAAGGAGTAACGTTCTCTATAAAAGCTTTAAAAAAAATATGTATGCATAGTAAGATTTCTGTATAATTTCTAAAAAATGTTACGTACTTAGGGTGTTTAGACATTCTAAATATCAGTAGGTAAGAGGTTGATTAAAAAGAGATTTTTCAAATGTACAATATATATATTATTTACATGTTGCTGAGAAATTCTATGTTATTTAATCTGTTTATTATTCTATATAACGTAGTTTTATGTTGCTATACAAATTTCAGTTTTAATAACTTATAGACTTTCAACGCGCAGTAATGTTCTTCATTGTACTCTACATAGTAATTTTATAAGTGTATATCCTGTCTGCGATAGGAAGTAAGTATTCAGAAAGTAACATATGTTTCACTGAAATGATACCCTGTATTGGAAATAAGAATTTCACGCTCGCAAGACCATTGCATATAATTTTGAAAAAAGGGAAGATTTGATATTTCATATTAAGGAAATAGATGGATAGTGCAATATAGGTACAATAAATCCATCATGAGGATAATACTGCGTTTTTTTAACTCCACGTTGGAATTAAAATTATTATGTGAGTCAGTATTCGGAAAAATTTCCAAGAAAATTCGATAAAAAAAGGTCGGACAATGAACCGGCGAGATTCCGTTAACAAAATGATTTCTTACTGCAGTTTCGAATGCACACATGACTGTGTCGCGCACATGATCGGATTGTGCACATGATTATTTTGTATACATGTACATTGTAATAAAGAGCGTTTATAATTGTGCGGTATTTTATATGCTATAGGACTTTTTATTCAAAGTGCGGTTCTATATGGTTTAGATTGAGATCCACACATTTCCCGGTACAAAACGAGGTCCATTTTATGGTTTGATATGGGTTTACAACTTCCCACATGAAGAGAAGTTTTACATGTGTACGTAAGCAGCATGGACGTGTATGCAACACACGGTCACGTAGGTACATGTAATCGTGTTTGCAATGTGCTGTGTACAATATGTCATATGTCATGTATACAATGCGCTGTGTGCAATACATATATGTATATACGAAGTTGTAAGCAATTATTTTGTGGGTAAACGAAATCCTCTTCTAAATAAAAATTTTAGAATAATATAATTAATATAATTAATATAGTTGATATAATAAATATAATAAATATAATAAATATAATTTAATATAATAATATAATTAAATTTAAAAATAAAATATTCTATATAAATACGTGACAAAGAAATAAATTATTTTTTACTATAAAAAATTAAAACAATTCAATGTAACAATTTGATATATTAACTTATTTAGAATATTTAATGAACAGAAACAATTATATATGTATAAATGATCCAGAATTGATGATAAATATATATGTAATTATAGTTATCTTATTTGAATTATAGATTTTATGCAGATGGGCATGAAATCCAAGTCCAATTAATTAAATAAATAAATATGATAACTTGTATTCTAATAGAATATGTACATTCAAAAGGCGATACCAATTTGAATGTAAATATGCCGTTAGAATACAATTTATAACATGTATTAAATAATGAATTGGGCAGACACATACATAAATTCCCGAAAATAAATTATACGTAGAGTTATAAATAATATTTTTTATCTATTAACATACATTTTACTGTAAAACATATAATAGAGGAAAAAATCTGATGTCTTATTTGAAATTCTGTTATAATTAATCTCTTATAAAAGATTATTAATTTGTTTTTAGATGGGTATTGAAAGTGTGAAGCATTCTATCGTATGATTTTCATTTGTTTAAATTTTACTTATTTTAAAGTTTATAAATTACAAATTTATACACTAAATTAAATCTTAAAGAGCTGTTTTTTAACATTGTAACTATATCTTTGCTGCAATTTAGTTAAATTTTGTCAATGTTTCCATATTGAATCCCCAAGTGGGTAATGTAGGTCTTAGGATTTTTAACGAAAAACATTATAGATCATTGTTTTTTGTGAAAAATTTTTGTGATTATTATTTTAAAGTAATTTTAGGAAATCCTTAGAGGTACTTGTGAAGCGTGGTAAACTTTTACGAGGACTGTATCAACAAAGAGAGAAATGTTTATCATTATAAACTTGCACATTACTTTAAAGTTGAAATTGACGGAATTATCTCGCTCTACCCTATGATTTACAATATTTATAACTTTAGTTCATCAATTTTCTTCACAGAAATATATAATACATACAATAGAATTCTTAGAAAAATATAATACATACAGTAGATTATATTATTGCAGTTCATCTTTTTTAGCAAGCATTGCTCGAAATGTTGTCAAATAGGAAAACGTAGTTGATAAAAACTGTTACATGTAAATATATAATTTTTATTATTTTAAGTATCATTAATATTTAATAATGATTGTAAATTATTATAAATCCACACGAACTTATTTATCAAATAATTTTTTAATCTATCATTGTTTATTTTAAGCTTATATATAGACATGAGAAATTATTATGTTGAAAAAAAAAATAATAAAGGAGGATGTTAAATATTGTTGATTTTCGTCACCAAGTGTAAAATAAATGAACCTTGAAAAATCATTCTTTGAAATTATAAATGACAGAAAACAATAATGATTTTTCCGAGAAGGGATGAAAACATTGCTAGAATTTAGAATAATAAGAAATAACATGTATGTACGTTAATAAAATCATTATTCGTATGCAAAATCATTATTCTAGCTAGAATTGTGCAAATAAACATCACCAACTACCTTAGTCTATTTAATACTTGGGGGCGAAAATCGACATATCTTTAACACTCTTCATGAATTATTACATCCAAGATTATTGAAAATTAAACCACTGAGAATAACTCCTGTGAACATTCTAATTTAAGATAGACTTACAGAAGCATAATAATTAAGTGAAAGAGTCGGTAGCAGACATGGCACAGTTAGAGTTATAGGATGTTGACATCTCGACACAGTATATAACAAATTCTTCTGTAAAGATATATCTTTATTGTACCACGACGATTCATATCCAGCATAACCAATGTCATTGCTCTAAAATATTTAAAAAAAAAGGAAAGATTATAAGAAAATTTAAGATACAGTTATTAATATATTCTTTTTACAAGATGAAAATGTGATTATAGATCGCATCAATTATATTAGAAGAATTCATTATCATTTATATATTTATTTTAAAATTTATACATAATTTATATCGTTATTTTTAATTTATTGCAATTTTGATTTTTATGTTATTTTATTATAAACTCTTTTTACGCCTTTTCTTATGTTTTATATGGCTGGTATGCCTTACCGTGTGCAATAAATAATCAGCTGGCCATGCGCAGATAAAAACCTCTACAATTGCGGATGCAGCAACGCCAAAAAATTGGGTTTTTACAGTTAATGGTTGTTTCTGTACAAGATAATGTTTTAATATAAGTAATACAAAATTTAGATTATATTTGTAATAGAAAGAAAAAAATTGGTCACAATATCTACAATTCTAAATTAACAAAATAATTTTAATTTTTTTTTAGTAAATTATGTAATGCCTAAGTCGTCTATTTATCTAATTTTCATAATACTAATTACATAAATGCTAGATGCGTTTGTATGACAAATGAGATGGCTCCTTTTGTTTACAAATCGATTGTCTACAGCATCTTTTGCCAACAGTTCGTTTGCGCATAAAAATTATTGCCTACAGTTCGATTGCCCACAACCATTTTTGTGCACAAATATAAAATTAAGTAAGAAAATAATTCGTATTTGTACAGAGAATTTGTTTTAAAACAGAGAATTCATGTTTTTAAAGTAGAAAATTTTATATTTTAAAACATAATTTGTGTTTTTAGAACAGAGGCTAGCACAATGTAATCGAGCTGTAGGCAATAATTTTTATGCGCAAACGAACTATCGGCAAACGATACTAAAGGCAATCAATTTGCAGGCAAACGAGATCGTGCTCCCACATGCTTCTACTATTTTTAATTAAGATATTTAAGATATTTACGCAATCACATAAATTATGTAACTAATGTAATAAACAGCTATATGCAATGGAAATACAAATGACTCACGCTCAAAAAAGTCAAACCGCTAAATACCACTCCTATGGTACAAAATCCTATCGTTGACAACACTACGTATTGAATTGTCATAGTAACATCTTTTGCATATCTGTAATTAGCATATCTGTTAGCTTTTGCATATCTGTTAATTACTATCAGTTTTTTATTAATTTTACTATTGTATATTCTATTATAGAATTAATTATAATTATGCGTTAGTTAATAAAAAATAATATGAATATACAAGTTTAAAAATGTTTTGGTTATATAATAAGCTAAAAATATCAGCTAAAAAATGAGCTACAAAAGTTAATATTTATGAGTGAAAATCAAGAGAGATGTTCAATACAATTAAGCAAAGAAGACCATATTTGGCAAATATTGGTGTCTAATAATTGTTATCAGTAATATTAAATTATGTATCAATTTAATTTGTGATATAACGTAATCCAGTTTCAGTTTTTTTTTCGCTATTATTTCTCTTATTGTCTGAAAGTGTACAGGTATTATGTCATTTGAATACGAGTTAAACGATGTAGAATTCCAAGCTGATTGTTGTACCAGCCATTGTAATGTTCCACAGCTTCTATAATGTCATCATCGGTCTTCAAAGATAGTTTGGTGTTTAGAAAGGAAGACACTAGTTGTCTAAAAGAACTTCCGTCAGTTTTTATGATTATGAAGTTTACATGATTTATCTACATTGATGATTTTTTTCTGTTGAGTATAATTATAACCGGCGAATGATCTGATGAGAGGTCAAAATTGAAAAAGTTAGTAAGCGAATTCGCAATTCCCTTTAAGCAGAAGTCTATTAAAAAGGGGATTTTCTTACTGTCCGTAGGCCAGTAGATCGGTTCGGACGATATAATATTTCATAGACTGGATAGCAAGTAATAGTTGATGTTTCGAGTTTCAGTTTAAGACCATGTTTTAAACTTACACACTCTTAGATTCTTTGCTTGAATTAGAAATTGTAAAATTCTTTGTAAAAAAACACAAAAAATATTATTAGGTACCTAGACTCGCCTTGATCAAATAAATATATAGCCTTCTTCGCTTTGTGTTGAATATACAAGTATATAATTATTTTTGAAGAGGTTATAATGCGCCATTGCATTACATATAATTTACATATTACCGTAATAGCTGTTGATGCAGCTGTATACAGATTGTAAATTCTGAGATGCTTGTAATTTTCTGAAATTTATGGGATAGAATCTCGAATCTTGCTGCTGTGAACCAAAGCAGAAGAGCTACGAAGACGTTACTACATACTTGAACACAACTTTGGTATATAATCATCATATGATGCAAGTAAATAATAGTTCTCAGTGGTTGTTTGTTCACATCGAATGGATACTCAACTTCGATTGGAAAGGGTTGAGCTAAGAATAATGGTCCGAACGACACTATTATAGCTGTCACGGTTATAAAACACATTGTCGTACCGTAAACTAATTTGCATTTGTTGATATATCGCTGAAAGGTGTTCCTCTCTTCTGATTTTGCTTGCTGAATATAATCTTCCATTTCATATATTATGATCTGGATAAGTATGTTATGTAATCTCTCATTAATGACGGAGTTAGAAAATTCTTTATTTACGTACCAGCTAAATCTATTTGTCAAAATGGCAGTATTTCCTAAATATATTTTTAATTATAACTTTTTAAGCTTTTGACAAATTAAACTTTGCAAATATAATATAATAATTCAATTTGAATTGTTTCATATATACTATATATTATAGTATAAAATATTAATACTAAATGTGTATATTGCTGCTTGTACATTCTTTCGCGATATTAATGAAAGAGTTTAAAACAGATTATTTGAAAGTATATTTTTTAAAAATGCGATTATTAAGTCATGTTAATTTTGTTAAATAATTTTTTTATATTTAGAAATAAACATGTAAGTAAAGAAAAGTTTATAAATGATACAATGAAAGTGATAATGAAATCAATTGAGTGAAGGTTTTAACAAAAAATTTTTGTTTGTAGTTAATAAAATTTGAAAAAAGATAAAATTATTTTTTTAATAAATTCGAAAAAGTTAGTAAAAAATGCTACAGTTTTAAATACTTTGAGATGCAAACAAAACGAACCTACCAGTACAATTTCACCAAGAAATAAAAAATTATTTTTTAAAAGTAACAAGTTACAGTTATTCGTTACTTGAAGAAATAATTTTTAGTTACATTTCTATCTGCCCCCCCCTCCCCCATTTAACCAAACCTTAATGAAAAAATTATATAATAATGTGCTATTTATGCGTTTTCTATATCCGCAAAAAAAATGTTTGCTCATTCCGTTTAGCTAAAAAAAAAATTTGTGGAAGCTGAGAGGCAGTCAGTCATCCTCCCTCCTCATCCGTTGAAAACAATTGATTTGGAAAATTAAATACACAGGATTTATGTGCTATCATATGCACAAGAAAAAAGTTGCAACGCAAAAATTAAGACTGTGTGCATATAATAGCGCATAAATAGTGCATAAATTCCTATTCAGCCCTCTACAAATCTCTACATTACATAATATTTAAATTTAATTTTTAGATATATAGATGTAGATTTATATTATAATTTTTATCTATAATACAAATAAATCGAAATTACAATAAATTCAAAAGCACATTGTGTTTCTTACTTGCAAACGGTCACTTTGAAGTGTGAACAATGTAATTTGTATTGGAACTTGTACGAAGGCAGTCAGCTCACAGCCCACTTTCATCACAAAAATCATATTATCATATTTCCTGTTTAATGTATATATTAACGATATTACCATTATAATGCTATTTAAGCAACATAACAACCGAAATATCTTGTTACGAATTTTTTGAAATTTTGTAGCCTTCATCGGAAGTGGCCAACAACATGCAAACGTCAGATCTACTTTTAAGAAGGCAATAATCTTTTCTAACGTCAATGTTTCTGTCATAATAATGTAATAATAATGTCGTGGTATATTAGAGATAGAAAATAACGCACTTTATTACGATTCTCATTCGACTAAAGTGTTATAAATAACGTTCCTCAAGAAGAACAGCGTGATATTAAACACTTAAATTACAGCTACGTAGCATTCATTTATATTTAAAAGCAAAATGTACTTTCCTCCGACAGAGCGATGCAGAACTATAATGTAGCAGAAATTATGAGAGAGGCAAGGAAATAATAAAATAAAATACAGGAGGGATGTATATATTGATTTTTTGTTAAACGTAAGTCAGTATTTTTTGCGCTTCTCTCTGAAGTATTATTGACTAAACATTGAAATAATTACATCATATATAATTATGTTAATATATATAATTATGTGCGTGTTATATGATAAGTGGAATAGAAAATTTAGAAGCAAATGCGTCTAAGGATAATAATGTAAATCTTATATTAATCCTAAAATATTTTATGTTATGTTGTATCTTAAGAGAATCTTTGGTGTGTCAAAAATAATTTTTATTACAAATAATGGTCTTTATTATATACCTACGTTAAATAAAGACTTTCTTTTAATCTTGAAATAATGCTTAGTAAAAAATTAACTTTATAGTCTTTGTTTTAGTTGATATTGAATAATTGTAATGAAAAAGGCGCAGCTTGTAACATAATAAAATTAAGTTAACTTTGTGTCAAATTAATTTTTACAAGAATTAAGAAAACAATTAACGCTATTTAATGAAAAACACGACATAATTTTATTTTACATGAAAAATAAGGAATGATATGTTATGTATGAGATAACTTTTATATGAAACACAGAAAATATAATCATAAAGTGAGGAGTTAGATGTCTTCCAAAAAAATATTCGTCAAATAAAAATAATTATTTCTTAGAGAGTGATAATTATTAATTTTAATAAATGATAAGATGCATTTTTCTATTACTTCAATAATTTCATATACTGTGTACATACGATGATACCATAGATGTTGATCGTACGAAATGACAGGATTTCGAAATGCGCCATGATAAATCATATGCGAAAAAGAAAATTGCAGAAGCTAACGATGAAAAAGCATTGCGATGATATGATGCAAAAGATTATAATTAAATATAAGATTATATTTTTTTCACTGGTTCATATTTCACGTCGAAAGAATATTTTACATTTGTCAGAAAGATCTGATAGACTGCTATGAGTAGCACAGTCATTGTTTTACATGCAGCGAAAAAAATTACGGCTGTGCGGGTTTGCGTAGAACATAGCGTATCTATTTATGTACTGTTAGTAAAACTTTTTCTCGTATGTTTTCGTTCACTCGAAATTATGCTTCATTTTCGAAATCAAGTACTGAAGCTTAATTCGATTTTTTAGCTGGTATGTAGTTTATACCTGTGCTATAATTAAATGAATAAAATCGATGACTAAAAAAATTATATTCATGGTTTTTAAAAGTAGATAATATAATTTTTGTGAAGATGTGTGTAATCTTGCTCCGGATAAACAGAAGTAATAAAAAAATCATTGTCAATAATATTGATGTAGTGTCGATCAATAATATTAAAAAATAAATATTTAACTTATTAATATCTCTTGAATATTCTTCTATAGAATTGAATAATGTAGATTGATAATGGTTCATCAAAAGTCGGACTGATATCGCCTCAGATATGTATTTCTTACTTGCAATCGGTCATATTGTAATACGCATAGTGTTATCTCCAGAGGTATTCGTATAGAGGCGCTCAGCAAATGCCATAATTTTGTTATCTTTAGTAGGTCGTAGTATTGTAATAATGGGTGCATGCTATAAATATGTTTAATATTTATACAGAACAAAGAGCATAAGATTTTTTTCAATGGCCACGATAAGAAGTTCTTCCTTATTTAGTTTACAATATTTCACTCTAGATTTGAAGTTATAATAGAAGTAAGAGCTAATTGATATTTTTAAGTTTATAAGTGCAATCATAAACTAATTTTTATAATAATCTAATTTTTTAATTTTTTGTTTAATTATTTTTTTTATATTAAGGAAAATGATAAGAAAAGACGAAAAGATGAGAAAACAAATAATAATTATACTGTACTTTCTCATGTTGATAAAAATAAGAAAATGCAGAATAAAAAGTTGATAAAAAATTCTAAAAAAATTCCTAGAGTTCTATGTGAAGAAAATAAACAATTTTTGTCTCTTGTTTTTTGTACAGTATTTGAGAGAAAAATTATTGAAGCTAATATTTGGCAATTTTTAGTAATTAATATCTTGTTAACTATTGCAAAAGTTACAAAATGGTAGAGAATTTTTCGACTCAGTTTAGTCCGCTCTATCTCTATGCAAGAATTTTATCATTACTCAAACACTCTGTATATGTATATTATAAATGTGTAGGCTATATACATTATATAATTGTATAAATACATAAAATATTTTGAAGTATTTCAAATCTAATGTAGTATCGTTTGCAATGCTATAAAGTACGCGCATTTCAAAGGAATGAAATTTTATTCCAAAAAAGAAATGAGATTAATAGGTTTTTGTAATAATTTTTTATTTATATGCATTTATAAATTATTTAAATTATAGATATTGAATAATGTAATATGGAACATAAAGTTACACTAATTCTATCAATTGCAAATATTTTTTTATTATTAATTTTATTACAATATTAATTTTTAATTTCGTGTTATAGACACAGATGTAGGATAGAATGGGGCTTTTTCGTTCATTTTTCGCGATGATATTTATATTTCTGATCAGCACATATTAAATGTTTAAAGATTATGCTCTCAAGGAGCAATCATGATTATATAATGTAGATGTAAGCACGTCACTGCAAAGAGAAATTGTTTACCGTCATAATTTGCACATTATTTTAAAGTTGAATCTGACGGAATAATCGCGCCTAAAAATTTTTACAGCTTTAGTTCATTAATTTTCTTTACATTATAGAAAAGTATAATACATACAGCAGATTACATTTGCAGTCCATCTTTCTTAGCAAGCATTGCTCGAAATGTTGTCAAATAGGAAAACGTTGTTGATAAAAACTGTCACAAGTAAATATATAATTTTAATTATTTTAAATATCAGTAATGTATAATAATGATTTTAAATTAATAATAAACCTACACGAACATCTTAATTACCAAATAATGTTTTGATCTATTATGATTTATTTTAAGCTTATATATAGACAAGCTTATAACGAACTATTATGTTTAAAAAGATAATAATAAAGGAAGATGTTAAAAATTGCCGATTTTTGCTACCAAATAAAATAAATGGACCTTGAAAAATCATTGTTTGAAATTATGAATGACAGGAAATAATAATGATTTTCTCCGAGAAGGGATGAAAACATTGCTAGAATGACTAAAAAATAATAAAAAATAACATGAGCCATATATATATATATATATATATATATATATATATATATATATGTGAAAAATATCACAATATATTTTTCTATCTAGAATTGTACATGTAAAGATTGCTGACTACTTTAATCTACTTCATACTTGGAAACGAATATCAACATTTCTTTAATAATCTTCCTTAATTATTATATACAAGATCCTTCCTGAATTATTATATACAAGATTATTGAATTTTAATTAAACTTGAGAATAACTTCTGTAAATATTTTAATTTAAGATATGACTTACAGAGGCATAATAATTAAGTGAAAGAGTCGGTAGCAGACATGGCACAGTTAGAGTTACAGGATATTGACATCTCGACACAGTATGTAACAAATTCTTCTGTAAAGATATATCTTTACTGTACCATGACGATTCATATCCAGCATGGCCAATGTCATTGCTCTGAAATATTAAAATGAAGAAATTATAAGAAGATTTTATTAGAATAAAGACACAATCATTAATATAATGTGTATTTTTTTCACAAGATAAAAATGTGATTATAGATCGCACCAATTATATTAAAAGAAATCATGTATCATTTATATATTTATTTTAAAATTTATACATAATTTATATTTTTAATTTATTGCAATTTTGATTTTTATGTTATTATTTGTGTTATATTATTTTATTATAAACTCTTTTTACGCCTTTTCTTATGTTTTATATGGTTGGTATGCCTTACCGTGCGCAATAAATAATCAGCTGGCCATGCGCAGATAAAAACCTCTATAAGTGCGGATGCGGCAATGGCAAAAAATTGGGTTTTTATAGTTAATGGTTGTTGCTGTGTAAGATAATATTTTAATATAAGTAATAAAAAATTTAGACTGTATTTGTAATATAAAAAAAAATTGAACACAATGTCTACAATTCTAAATTAATAAAATAATTTTTGATTTTTTTTTTTTAGTAAATTATGTAATGCCTAAATCGCGTTTATCTATCTAATTTTCATAATACTACTACATAAATATTAAATATATTTGTATAACTTAAATATAATTTATATGCTTCGAGATAACTTCTTTTGCTAATGATTTGATTACTTAAGCATTGTTTGCCTACTTACTTTTGCCAATAGTTTATACACAAAAATTATTACCTAAGCCCTATGACCTATCACTTTTGCGTACAAATAAAAATTTCAGAAACTAAGTCATATTTTCCTACATGTATTATTGCCTACAACTCGATTGTCTACAAGCCCTTCTGCGCCTAAATATAAAATTAAGGTTAAGTAAGAAAATAATTTGTATTTTTAAAGCAGAGAATTTATGTTTTTAAAGCAGATAATTTGTGTTTTAAAACAAAATTTGTGTTTTTAAAGCAGATAATAGCACATGTAGACAATCGATTTGTAAACAATAATTTTTGTATGTAAACGAACTGTTGGCAAAAGTAATGTAGGCAAATTATACTATAGACAATCGATTTATAGACAAACGGGATTCTCTCATATGCTTCTATTATTTTTAATTAAGATTTTTAAGATATTTACGCAAACAAATGAATTTAATATTATGTAACAAGTATATGTAAGAGAAAGATGGAGAAATGACTCACGCTCAAAAAAGTAAGGCCACTAAATACGATTGCTATGGTACTGAATCCTACCGATGATAATACTATATATCGAACTGTCATAGTAATATCTTTTGCATATCTGTAATTAGCTGTTAATTACTACCAGTTTTTTACCACTCTATACTCGGTCAAAGCGAATCTTATGCTTTAATACTTCCGTGTGAAGCATTAGCATCAAAAGTTATTAAATTGCTTATCAATTTAATAAATAATATTACAACTCTGGTTCTGCTTATAATTGTATTCCAAGATCGAAAAAAATTTTTTTGGCACACGGTATGCACGATCAAATACGTATATAAATTTACATGGAAATACTTAAGCATTAAGATCTGCTTTGATCAAATATATAGGATTTCTCTTATTTAATTAGATTTATTCTCATCAGTCGAAAAGTATTATAATTGTCTAGCAATAAGAACTATCAAGTAGTTTAATATCTTTATCAGAATTTATCTTTACTTATCGATATCTAATCGATATTATCAATAATTTATGTTATCGATAAATCATAAAGTATATCGATATAGTTATCGATAATTTTATCATTAGCAAGACCTCTATATATAAATATATAATTATTTTTAAAGAAGATGTTATGCGACGTTGCATTACATAATTTACATATTACCGTAATAGTCGTTGATGCAGTTGTATACAGATTATAAATTCTGAGATGCTTGTACTTTTCTGAAATTTATGGGATAGTATCTCAAATCTTGCTGCTGTGAACCAAAGCAGAAGAGCTACGAAGATGTTGCTACATACTTGCGTACGACTTTGGTATACAGCCATTATATGATGCAAGTAAATAATAGTTCTTAATGGTTGTTTATTCACATCGAATGGATATTCAACTTCGATTGGAAAGGATTGAGCCAACAATAATGGTCCGAACCACATTATTATAGCTGTTGTGGTCATCAAACACATTGTCGTACCATAAAATAATTTACATTTGTTGATATATCGCTGAAATATGTTCCTTTCTTCTGATTTTGCTTGCTGAATATAATCTTCCATTTCGTATATTATGATCTGCATAAGTATATTATGTAATTTCTTATTAATAACAGAGTTAGCAAAGAAAATTTATTTGTACATCAGTTAAATCTATTTATCAAAATGGCAGTATTTTCTAAATATATTTTTAATTATAACTTTTTAAGTTTTGGGCAAATTAAACTTTGCACAAGTATAAGTATAATATAATAGTTCAATTTGAACTGTTTTGTATTGTAGAACATATAGTATAAAATATTATAGTACTAAATGTATATTATTGCTTGTATATTCACGATATTAATGAAAGAATTTAAAAAAAATTATTTAAAAATAAATTCTTTTTTGAGTGCGATCATTAAGACATTAATTTTGTTAAATAGTTTTTTTAATTTAGGAACAAAATACACACAGATGTAAGTAAAGAAAAGTTTATAAATAGTACAATAAAAGTGATAATAGAATTAATTGAATGAAGGTTTTAATGAGAAATTTATAATTTATAAAATTTAAAAAATAATAAAAAATAAAATTATTTTCTTAATAAATTCGAAAAAGTTGAAAAATGCTGCAGTTTAGTTTAGGGTTAATCTCCTTGAAGATCAAAAGGTCAACATCGAGATCGGTGAAAAGTCATTTAGCCATCGCTCGTTATTCATTAAAAAGTTATTAAGAAGAAAAGTTAAAATGATGTTTCTTTTTATTATATAGAATACAAATTTTCTTTTTAATAACTTTTTAACGAATAATGAGCGATGACTAAAAGATGTTGGAAGTCGTGACCTTAACATATGTGAAGGTCAAGATCATCGAAGAGGTCTTCCCTGAAGTGAACATTAACCGTTTTTTGTATTGAGAGGCATTTAATATCATAATATGTATTTTAGTAAAATAGTAGATCAGAAAATCTGAAAAAATGGCCAAGATTTTGTGAGATCTTAGATAATCTAATGCCTCAGTTCTTGGCGATAGATAATTTTATATTTATTGTCATGACATGTTGAATTACTCTATATTTGTGCAAAGTTTAAAAAAATGTATTTTTTTTTATTTTTCAGAATCCAAATAAATCAAATTTTAAAAAGATGTGTGAGTATAATAAATAATATACATATATTTTCTTTATGTATATATAAAAAATACATTAATGAAAGTACTTCCCATCACTTTAAAAACGCTACGAATTAATTCCAACACCTAATATATTCACGCAATTAATATTAAATTTAAACAATTATATATATTCACGCAATTGATATTAAATTCAAATAATGGTATTAAATTGTTTTAAATGTCAATAATATTAAAATTTTTTGTCATTAGATTATTGAAATAAAAAAAAGAAAATCTTATTTAAATCAATTTTTTTAATTTTCTTAGAAACTATGATTGAAAAATTTGTAAGTCATATCGTACAAATTTAAATCTCTATATTACATAATATTTAAATTTAATTTTTGTAGATTTATATTATGATTTTTATCTATGATATAAATAAATCGAAATTACAATAAATTCAAAAGTTTATTGTGTTTCTTACTTGCAAACGGTCATTTTGAAGTGTGAATAATGTAATTTGTATTGGAATTTGCCAAGAGGCGCTCAGCTCACAGCCCACTTTCATCGCAAGAATCATGTTATCATACTTCTTGCTTAATGTATATATTAATGATATTGACATTATGATGCCATTTAAGCAACATAACAATCGAAATAACTTGTCACGAATTTTTTGAAATTTTGTGGCCTTCATCGGAAGTGGCCAACAACATGCAAATGTCAGATCTACTTTTAAGAAGGCAATAATCTTTTCTAGCGTCAATGTTTCTGTCATAATAATGTAATAATAATGTCGTAGTATATTAGAGATAGAAAATAATGCACTTTATTACGATTCTAACTCGACTAAAGTGTTTTAAATAACGTACCTCAAGAATTCGAGGAAAGAAAAATCACGTGATATTAAACACTTAAATTATACCTACGTAGCAGTCATTTATATTTTAAAGCAAAATGTAGTTTTCTTCGGCAGAGCGATGCGTGCGGAACTATAATGTGGTAGAAATTATGAGAGAGGAATGGAAATAATAAAATACAGGAGAGATGTATATATTGATTTATACGTTGATTTTTTTGTTAAACGTATATATATCTTTCCTACATTTTATTATTTGCATTTCTCTTTCATAATTTCTGCCATATTATAGTTTTGCACGCATCACTCTGCCGGAGAAAAGTACATTTTGCTTTAAAATATAAATGAATGCAACGTAAGTATAATTTTTCAGTATTTTTTGTGTTTTTTGAAGTATTAAACGTTGAAATAATTATTCTTGTATAACGCATGTTATATGATAAGTGAAATAGAAAATTTAGAAGCAAAATGCGTGTAAGGTTAATAATGTAAATTTTATTAATCCTCAAATATTTTATGTTGTGTCGTATTTAAAAGAATATGTGTGTGTATATATTAAAAGTAATATCTTTTTATTATAATTATTACAAATGATGGTTTTCATTATACCTATATTAAATAAAAACTTTCTTATATTTTGAAATAATGTGTGACAAAAAATTAACTGTAGTGTTTATTTAGTGTTGATATTGAATATAATTATAATGAAAAAGATGCAGATTGTTATAAGCTGCACCTTTATGATTAAATTAACTTTATGTCAAATTAATTTTAATAGGAATTAAGAAAACAATTAATCCAACGTAATAAAAAAACACGACATAATTTTATTTTACGCGAAAAATAAGGAATGTTATGTATGAGATAACTTTGACATGAAACACATAAAATATGTAAAGTGTTAGAGTAAAGTGCTAGATGTAAAGTGTCTTAAAAAAATATATATGTCACATGAAAATAATTATTTCTTTATTAGAGAATGATAATTATTAACTTTGACAAATTATAAAATACATTTTCCTATTATTTTAATAATTTGTTTTATGATGTATACATACGATGATATAATAGAATGCATTTGTACGAGTTACGCATGATCATTTTAACCTTCTTTATTAATTGATGAACAACAAGGACAAATGATGACTCGGAACACACTCATAGATGTTGATGACCATACGAAATTGTTGTGAGAGGATTTCGAAATACACTGTAACGAACCATATGAAAAGAAGAAAGTTGCAGAGACAAATGATGAAAAAGCTCTGTGACGAAATGATGCAAAAAAATAATAGTTTTCACTGATTCATGTTCCACGTTGAAAGAATATTTTACATCTATTGGAAAGATCTGATCTGCTGCTATTAATAGCACAGTCATTGTTTTACATGTACCAAGAAAAACTGCCTCTGTAAAATTTGCGTAACACATCGCGTATCTGTCTATGTACCGTTGGTGAAACTTTTTTTCGTATGGTTTCGCTCACTCGAAATTATACACTCCATTTTCGAAATCAAGTATTGAAGTTTAACTTTTGGAGGACCGGAGGTTCTTTTAGGGACTCGACAGTGGCGCTATCTTTTTTGCTATTCAATCCCATAACATTGACAAGTTTTAGCCCTTAAAATAAAAAAGTCGATCAAAAGTATTCCGGTCCTCAGAAGGTTAATTCGATTTTTTACGTATGTAGTTGATACCTATGCTGTGAATAAATGAATAAAATCGATGACTGAAGAAATTATATATAGTTATATATAGTTTTTAAAAGTATATAATATATTTTATGTGAAGATCTTGCTCTCCGGATAAATAGAAATGATAAAAAAAATTATTTGTATATAATGAATAGTATATAATGAATAGTATATAATATTACTCAATGGTATTAAAAAGTAAATGTTAAACTTATTAATTTCTCTTGAATATTCTTCTGGAATTTAATAAAATAAATTGTGAATGATTTATCAAAAGTCGGTTCGACATATATTGTTATAGATATATCTATGTATTTCTTACTTGCAATCGGTCATATTGCAGTGCGCGTAGTGTTATCTTCAGAGGGACTTGTATAGAGGCACCCAGGAAATGGCATAGTTTTCTTATCTTTAGTAGGTGATATTACAATAAAGAATGCATGCTAAAGATATACTTAATATTGCTGCATTCAGAACAAAACATCTAAATTTAGTATTTATTAGTATTCTTTGATAGTGGCCACGATAAAAAGTTTTTTTTTATTTAGTTCACAATATTCTCATCTAGATTTGAAGTTAATAGAGAGAACTGATTGATATTTTTATGTTTATAAGTGCAACCGTAAACTAATGTACTAATTTTTTAATTTTATGTTTAATTATTTTTTTTTATATAAAGGAACAAAATAATAAGAAAAGACTAAAAGATAAGAAAATAAGTATGAATAACTTTTAAGTAATTATACATTATTAAATAAAATTTTAGCGAGTTTTTCGATTTTATTGTGTCATCTATGTCATCTGATCATAATCAGCGTAACAATAAAATAAACATTGATTTTTAGTTATTTAATATAGTTGCTTGAATATTTTCCAATTTTATCAGCATATGTTTTTGCTCATTCCATCTCAAACATTTTGCATGGTTACTCGAAGCGTTGTGAAATAGGAAAATATAGTCGACAAATACTGGAACATATTCGTAATATCTTTATATAATGAAATATTTCAACTAAAATATTAGTTTATTCCGAATTATATATATGTAAATTTCTTATTTATGATTTTAAATTGGCAATATAATATTTGTATTTAATTATATGATATGATGTGTATTCAGGCAACTTATCTCTAATTTTTATATTAGTAATATTTGTGTCATACAATGAAGTGCTTTTATGTATTGTGATTTTATATGTATAATAACAGATTATACATTAGTGATTGCTATGCATGTTTAATGTCATAACATATTAAAATTTAATTCCTTACCGATGCATAGTATTTTAAAGATAATGCGGGCATAACACATGGTACTGAGATAATTATTGGTTTTTGAGCCCTTAACATAACTATGTGTAGAGTCTTCCTTAGAGCGATTGATTGTTGATACCATTCCGTATCAAAGATTGCTTGTCCAATTTCATCACTCTAAAAACAATATTGGATAATAATGTTGATTTATTGTAATTGATTAATTAAAATGTAGCAGTTCTTTCTGTGATAATTAAACTTACTATATGAATCAAATGTTCTGCTGGCCACGTATACATGAATACCACTGATAATCCACTAAACATTATACCAACGCATTGGATTTTCATTGACAACGGCTGATCCTATGTATAATACAGTATGAATTCGACATAAATTGAATACGCGAATGTATTATTAAAAAAAGCTGTAACTTAGTACTCACAGTCAATAAAATGAGGCCTACTATTATTAGTGCGATAGTACTGAGGCTCACAGTTGATAATGCTATAGGACGAATTAAAATGGTCACTTCTTCCGCATATCTGAGATAAAAATGTAAAAATGATAACGCTAATTATTAATATTAATATTATTAATATTAATTTCTTTTGTGTTGATATATGTAACAAAAAATTCTATTCAAATGATATAGAAAAGATTATGTGATATAAGTTTGAATAATTGTTTTATCGCAAAAACTGTATGACTATTATGATTTTTATACTTATGATTATTATACAATAAATTATAATAAAATAATGTTATTCGGTTTATGAAGTTTTCATTATTAAAAAATTAATTCTAATATATTTATTAAAAACGGGTTAATCATGTTAAAAGCACGCAGATGTAGGATTAATGATGTAATCGTGTCTTAAGTAAGCATAGTGTCTTACTTTAATAGATTTTGATGTTCTTGAATACATTTTTTTAATTCAGAAATGTTTGTGATTCTTTGCAGTTTTTCGATGAGTATTTCAAGTCTTGCCGACGTAAACCATATTAAGAGCGCCATAAAAATATTCATACATAGCTGGGCAGCACCTTGCACGCAAGCTATAGTCTGCTGTATAAAGATAATAGATCTTAAAGGTTGATGATAAACATCGAATGGATACTCAGCGTTTGTTGGAAACGGTTGATCTAGTGTAACAGGTCCAGACATAATGAAAACAGCACTTAGGTAAATCCAAAACATAGAGCCACCGTAGAAATAGATGCATTTATTGATATATCGTTGAAGGATTGCTTCTTCGCAAGGTTTAAGTAATTCACAGAAATTTTCCATTTCGAAAGTAACCAACTGGAATCGATTATATGTATAATATTATATATCTTAAATATATAAATTTACAAAGAGGGAATGTATACAATGATAACACTTTGTCTATTTTTTACTTTTACGTAACAACTAAATAATAATTAATGAATGCTCATAATAATTACTTGTAGGCGACAAGAATTAATTTTACAGCACATAATATTGCAAACGACTTGTATAGCGGGACACAGAACGCTTATCGATTTTGCGATAATGACAGGATCATTAAAGTGATTTCGCATCGCATTTATCAAACCTGCAGCCACGCTAGAGAGCACAATTATGCTAAAGTATTGATATATTCCTGCACAGATAACTTTCAATTTGACTGTATCTTTTGGTAGAGGCCAACACCAAGTTGGGATCAAACTTAGTTTTACAATAGCGATGACTTTCTTTAACGTCAACTTTGACCACATGATTAGAATGTTAATCGCACATATTCACGTATTATAATATGTATAATAAATATATATATATATATCTATCTTAAAAAGTTTCAAGGATAAGAAGATATATAATAAAGAAAATTTTGTATATAGCACAAATAGTTAGTTGCCTGTTTTCATTGCTTCTGTTTCACGTCAAATATACTTTCACGATGAAATTGTGATAAAATAAGCCATAAAGATGCGTATGTGTATATGTCATGTGAAAAGTAAGGCTTGTAGATTTATCTTCTACTAATATCTATTTTTAACATAAATTACGAAGGTGGCATACGATAAGGGTATTATGAATTTACGTATAATCTGGAATTTTCTCTCTTTGTAATGTTTTCCTTGAAATCATTACTAGAGCTTTTAGAAAAGAACATTTTCCGTAATATGCGTGGAATATGATGTTACAAGATTATGAAATGTGCCAGTAATTGAGAAACCGTTTTGCAGTAATTACTTTATAAACTATTCAACACATGTACGATGAATTTCCTGACGCAATCTTAGTTTCATTGAAATGCTTCGAAAATATAAACCTTTTATTAGAGTGCGAGTGCTGCAATTGATATATTAGCAAGTTTTATGCATTTAATATCTTTATCTACTATGTGTAATTAACATTTTAACTAACATTTAATTGACATTTATTTTTGTCTAAAAATTATTAGAATCTATAAAATGAAATTTTAATTTTGTTTTCCTAATTTTGTTTTTTAATTTTTTACTTGTTAAACTTTTATAATATTTTTAAAATAAATATTTATTTTATGAGCTGTGTGTAAAGATGTCATACAAATGAGATAACTAAAATTTTAAGTAAATTAAGTGAATTTAAGAAAATTGTGTAGAAGAATTTCTGAATTATAAAATTAAACAACCGAAAAAGATTAATGATAATTGTGACAATTACACATTCGCAAATAATAAAAAGTTGTTATTTTAATTGAAATATTAAAGAATTTTAATTTATCTTTTCATTAGATTTAAAGAAATTTAAAACATACGTATAGCAAGTAATAAAGAAAGAAAAATATGAAAAATATATAATTAATAAATGGTACATGATTAATAATATTTAATGTAAGATATACAAATTGATTTAATAAAATAACGCGTTTTGCGGCAATAATAAATGATTTATTATTATCTTGAATTACATTACATAGTTTGCTGAATCAGAATATTGTTATACATACATTACGTGCGCAACAAAATTTATAGTTTCTTTATGTAAAATTCCACATTTATTATCAAATAACTTTATGCAAATATTAATTGTTTAGGACTATTATTTAAATTGGCGTTGTGGTCTTTTTTAATCTGTATTTAGCATTACGCGCAGTGTTGTAAAATAGGACATTATAGTTGAACAGTACTGGAACATATAAGAAAATTTAGTTAAATCTTTCGTTATATTATAAAAATAAATTTTTGATCTCTGAAGTGCAAACGTAATGAAAATCATGTGCTAACAAATATGCAAATGATAGCGATTTTTAATTAATTCAAATCTCTGTCTCTCTTTCTCACCGATGTCAAGTAATTAAAACTTATTGATGGAGTAATACATGGTACTGCAATCGTTACTACTTTTTGACTTCTCAACATGATAATTTGCAGAAGTTTCCGTATTTCATCAGATTGATTATACCAGTGTGTATCAAAAGCAGCCTGAGAGATATCATTGCTCTCGGAAAAAGTAACAAATTAATTATTTATATTATAATTAGTTTTATGATTTTTTGTAAGTAACTTACTAAGAAAATCAAACGTTCTGCCGGCCAAGCAAACATAAATACTTCTGCTAAACAAGCTAGAATCATGAAGGTATATTTGAACCTCAATACTAGAGATTGATTCTGTTTAAAAAAAATTATATATGCATTATTATTCCCATATTCTAATACTTAAAATTTTTAATTTATGTAATAAGTAAAATTGACCGAGAAATGTTCAATACAAACAATCGAAGAAGGTCATATTTGATTAAAGCGAATTTTGATACCTAACCATATTTTTACGCGAATCTTTCAATTTTTACTTTAAGCAAACTGTGCGCCAATTATTTGTTTTCGGTCTCAAAACACTGTCTTAAACTGAAATTGTAGTATATAATGTCAAGCAATTTATTAATGCTAACCGATGCTAACGAGCACTTTAAAATTGTAAAGAATTTATGAAAAATATTATGACCAAGATTCGATTTTACCATTTGGACCTATCTACATTTCTTGACAGGCGTTTAATAGGAATGGCGAATAATGGGAAAGAAGGTTCGAAATTTAACTGGGATGATATTGTCCGCAATAAATTCTTTAGTGCTTTAAGATGCTCATCAGCATCATTGTAATTAAATAGCTTACCAGTTTAATTGATGATATTGCATTATGATCTAGTTTTTTTTTAGAATTGTGTTTTAAAATTGATAAGTAATCAGTTTGCTTGAGCTGGAAATTGCAAAATTTATGCAAAAATATTATTAGTCATCAAGATTCGCAAATGGTATTAAATACAGTGTTTTTATTTGTTTTTAAATTTAGTTGGGAGAATCTCCCTCTCCGTCTTCTTTTTCTTTATATAAATGGATATTAAATATATTTATATAATTATGTATATATTATAAATATATAAAATTTTCAGTATATTCTCGAATTTCAAATATAACATTTGATAGCTTTAATTATATATAAATTTTTAATAAAGATTTTAGGTAAATTTATGAAAAGAAATTTTAATTTTCAAATTATTACATGTACTTACGGTAAGAAATGAAACACCAATTATTATTAAATTAATCGTACTACAACATATACATGTTAATGCAAAGCAACGAGCAACAATAATAACTTCTGCTGTGTACCTGAATAAATACATTTTAGTTCTCAATATTTATATTATCCAAATTTTTTAAATTAGATTACGTACATAAAAACAAGGATGTCACATTTTATATTTAAATTATTACTCACTCAAGTATTTTTTGATGTTCTTTAATACATTTGGTCAATTGATAGACATTTGTGAAAGTTCTCAGATCTTCGATAATTATTTCAAATCTTGCTGATGCAAACCAGAGTAAAGTAGCCACGAAAGTATTTAAGCATAATTGTCCCGATACTATGAATCCGACTATAGCTTGATGTGCGTAAATAATTGTTCTTAAAGGCTCATAATATACATCGAACGGATATTCGATTAACATTGGAAATGGTTGATGTATCATGGGAGCTATCGCGCAGGCTGCTACCACAATAAAATAGAAAATAATCGAAGACACACCATAGAATGCGGCACATTTATCAATGTACCGTTGAATCACAACTTCTTCACGTGGTTTCATCGAGTTGCAAAAATATTCCGCTTCAAAAGTAATATTCTGTAAATATAATTATTATAATATTTACGCGTACGCGTGCATACTACATACTTACGCATGCGCATATATGTACAGGGTATCCGTAATTTTTAGCCAAGCACTTTTATGTAAATAGAGCGAACTAAACTGTTAACAAGATTAATTACAATAGTTACAATAGTTAACAAGATATTAATTACTAAAAATCACTGATTAATTTCAATAATTTTTTACTCAAATACTATTAATACTTCACAAAAAAACAGCAAGAGACAAAAATTGCTTATTTTCTTCTTATAAAGTTCTGAGAATTTTTTAATACTGTATTTTCATATTGGTAAAAATGTTGGTAAAAATCGTTGCCGATAAGAAAATGCAGTAATAAAAAGTTGATAAAAAATTCTGAAAAAATTCTTAGAACTCTATGAAAAGAAAATAAACAATTTTTGTTTCTTGCTGTTTTTTTTTCTCCAAAATTGTAGTATTCGCTAAATAATAGTATTCGAGTAAAAAATTATCGAAGATCAATATTCGGCAATTTTTAATAATTAATATCTCGTTAACCATTGCGAAATGGTAGAGGATTTTTCGATTCAGTTTAGTCTGCTCTATTTACAAAAAAAGCTTTTGGCTAAACATTGCGGCGCACCCTTCATATACATATATAATATATTTATTTACAGTGTTTACATTGGCTAAGTGTGTATACATTCGTCTTTTTAAATAAAATTAAAGAAAGTTTTTAAATAAAAATTGTTTTGTTTAAAAATTGCACAGTAATTATTTTTTTATTGAACAGTATTTTATTAGAAGTATTTTATTTTTTTGCTCATGTCTAGAAAAACAATACAAATGACAATATATGTATGTATCTCAGGAACTACTATAAAAAATAATATTTTATTATGAAAAAAATGATTTGTAAAAAAATTTCTTATGGAATTATAATAAAATAGATTCTATTCTTTTTTTAAAAAAATATAACTGCTACTAGAAAACATTTAAAAAAGAATGTCTTTTGTTTAAGTTATTAGATCTTTTATTAAATTTTATTTATATGTAATTTATATTAATTAAATTTTATTCACATTTTTTTAATGACTTTCTTATTTAAAAAGATATTATAATTGAGTTGTGAACACTTAAACCAAATACACATATTATGCCTATAGATATAATTTGTAAAATTCTTTAATGTAAAATATATTGATATTAAGTACTTGTATGTGATGATAATTGACTTTGTGAAAGATAAAATTACATATGGCGTGTAAAACAGGGGCTTGTTGAACAACTAATTCGACGAAAATAGCAAAATCGTTAATATGATTTGCGGTGGTATATATCATTGATGCCTCCATGCAAATCGCCAGAATAATGCACAAATTTTGATACAGTTTCATACAGGTGATTTTAAACTTTGTTGCGTCTTTTGGCATCGGCCAACTCCATGTTATCCATAAACTTAACTTCACGCCGGAAATAACTTTTTTGAAATTCAACTTCTCCGACTTTTCTGACTTCTGTAGCATGACTATATATGTACATATATTATACACGTAACGATGAGAATAATTTGAATAATGTTGTAAATACTGACTTTCTTACAATTCGATATATACAATGGAGGATGTGATAAATGAATATAAAACAAATGAAAGAGGGGAGAAATTACTATAAATGTATTATGAATATTCCCGTTTCATATAAAAAGAGTATACATTGATAAAATTATAGGGCACGATAAGAGAGGAGAATGCACCGTGTGTGTAAATTCAGTACGTGGAGATGTATAAATAAGCTGTTTTTGCATTATCTATATAATGTGAGAGATAGTGCTACTAGGTTTGGTAGGGCGTTTCTACTTTATAAGTAGAAATAGCTTATTACATCTGCACCTATTGATTTTAAATGCACGGTGCATTTTCTTTTCTTATCGTACCTTATAATTTTATCAATGTATACCCTTCTGTATGATACAGGAATATTTATAATGCACCTATAATAATTCCTTTCCACTCTCTTTACTTCCACTCTCTTTATATTCGAATGTTTATCGCACATTCTTCAGCGACTCATTGCATATCAAATCATAAACTTCATAATAATTTTATCGCCCTATGTGTAAAGAAAATACGTAGGAAGTATCATTATATGAAATGATATGTGATAAGAAGTTGAAGAGTACAAATTTCTATTCATTTAATTTTTTAAGAGACCGGAAGTTCTTTCCTTGAGATTTTACAATATACAAGTACAATAAGCGCAGTACTACAGTGCAGTACCTATATAGAAACATGGGAATATTTATCATATGGCGGGACAGAACATTTTAGAAAAGATTTTATAATATTTAAAGATCGTAATCAGACACAAGACGTATAAACAAATTTTTATTCCTTAATTTTGATGAATAAAACGGATATGTTTAATGGGTATGGTTAAAAGGTTTATTTTGCTATTTTGAAGTGATTTCTGTATATTATTATATGTATACTAGTATGAGTACTTTGTAATGTAATAATACAAGATGCATTATTCTCGGAGACGAACTCATCCAATATATACAGTGGCTACTTTTTGAGAAATCAAAAATTTGTTCCAAATTGTAAAGCAACATGACTATTTTGAGGTAAAAATTTGATTGGTTGTTTCTTTTGGTCTATTATTCTACCACCATTATGTTCAATAATATACCTTCTATTTTTACATCATTCTAAGATGCTTTTTAATACGTATGTTCAAAAAATTCTTAAACTTTGTTTTTATACTTATGTATAATTTATATGTTACGTATAATTTTTGAGGTTCATTTACTTATTCGACTTTCTCTCCTTCGAAATACTCTTCTTTTTTGGTTGATAAATAATATCATCAATTATGAATCTTTGGCAATAGCGAAACAGTGAATCGGAGGTATCATTTAGAAATGCTGAAATGTCTGAAATTCGCAGGAGAACTATATGCGACTTTGAAAGACGCATATCAGTTTTACTTTTAGAAGTAAACAGATATTGGGAGAGGTGTGTCAACGAAGAAGGAGAATATTTCGAAAGAGACTGAATAAGTTGTAATTAAAAAAATATATTAAAAAATAAAAACAAAGTAAGAATTTTTTGAACAGAATACAACATCGGTATATTATATTTACTATTTGTATATATTATATTAATCCTCGAATACTATTGAATGATATATAGTATTGCTATTAATACGTTTTACGTTTAAGGAAATAAACTACTTTTAATTAATGTAACACAAGTTTTTTATACATTTCACATTTTAATGACACAATATTTATAATCTAGACTTTGATAAACACAAATATAATCTAATTACGAATTTAATTATTACCTTAAAAAGAAAAAAGAATAAGTACATTTAAATTCAATTTTGAAGTGATATGCAGTATTTAGTCCAATCCTTATTGTGCATGTCTTCTCATAACATTTGAATAAAATATATAATAACAGTATAATAATATAAAACTATTTAAATTGAAATCACTTATTACGCTCGTTGTTATAACACTGATTATTAAGGAATTTAAACTACAGGAAATAAAATTTTTGAAGAGTCTGATCTAAATAAATATTAAACTACTCAAATAGAACCATTTAATAATTTTGTAATTTATAATAGTGCAAAGAATTTATTGCTATTATAAAAATATGCTACTTTACTTATCCAAATTCTTTCTCTTCAAACATCATTCGCATTGTAGTAAAGTAAGAGAATATGGTTGAAAGATACTGAAACATATATTATATTATGGATGCATATGTTCATTTCTTGTAGCAAAAGTACTATGCGTTCCGATATTCATTGCTGAAACTATAAAGTATATGTTACGTTATAGATTTTTAGCGTTGACAGTGAATATTAGAACGCACCTTATGAGTAAATGTGTTTTAATTATAATAGACATATTTATAAATTATTCTAAAAAAATTGATATCTATTTATTTCTTATTTAGAGTGTGACTAAAAATAAGTACTTTAAGAGTATAAGTATAAGAGTCCAACCGGAATTTTTGCCGAGACTAAACCGAAACACTCGTCATGTCAATTTCAACCGAAAATAAAACCAAAATTAAAAAATAGGAATCCTATAAAAGTCATATATATAGCCCGTATATTATACATGCTCATATATTATATACTTTTTCTTTATAAATATCAAAATTTATTAAAACAATAATTATATATAGATATTAATATTTATGAAGAAGAGCTATATGGCGGTTTCAGTCGAAACTGACACATAATGAGTGTTCATTTTCAGTTTCGGTAAAAGTTTTGGTTGGACTCTAATTATAAGGTAGAAATATATTAGCGATAATTTTTTAATTATTAATTTTAGTATGTAATAATTATAATACTTAATCCTCTTGTCAATAGTCAGATTTCCCTCTTTAATTTTTATAAAAATTTTATATAATTTTTATAAAAAACCATAGCTCAAAGCGCGCAAATCGATATAAAATGATCTAAATAACATGAGAATCATTGCCGGGCTAAGATGTATTTTGTTGGGAAATTAAAAAAATTTTTAATTAAAACCTCAAAAAGGGATATCCGGGTAAGAGAATTAAATAAAATGAAGTAAATCTCATTTTTGCTAAATTATTTTGTTAAATTAGAAATTTTATGTCATAAATATTTATTTTTTTATGTTTCTTATATTTGTTTTTCTCTATTTTTGAGAAATAAAGGAAGAAAGAAGAAAATAAAAAATCTTTTCTAATTATAATTCCAAGTAATTATAGCTAACTAGATGACTAATGTGCACTACCGATAAATTTTAATAATATAATAATTTTTTAAAATCACTAACCGATGCATAATAACGTAATGACAACGAGGGCAAACCGCATGGTAATGCAACTAGTATTGGCTTTTGACTTCTCAATATAACCATTTGTAAGTTTTTTCTAAGATATTCAGATTTAGCATACCAATCTGTTTCAAAAGCTGCTTGTGCTACACTCGTACTCTGCGAATTCGTACAAATCCATACAATTAATAACACATAAATTATGTGTAAATGTAGTTACGTTATTCTTTATAAATAATTTACTTACTACATGAATTAAATGTTCCGCTGGCCAGGCATACATAAATACTTCTAATAATGCACAGCTTGATAAAAGGATACACTGAATCTTCAAAGATAATGGTACCTTCTATTTGAACAGATATGAACCGCTATCATTAGACGAAATGTTAATAATATGAACTGTCTAATTTAAGAATATTAATACGTTTGTGTTAAAACGTAGAAAATAATTTATTGTATATTCTCTTACAAATTTATTATTTGCAAATATATATTAATATTATTATATTTTGTGAGTTTTATATTATATTTTAAAACATTATCATAAAAAACATTTATATATAAAAAATGATGCGTGAAATATCATGTATATTTCTAAATTTATTTCAATATATATATATATATATTGAAATAAATTTGAATAAAAAATATTTTAATTAATGCTATATTTACGATAAATTTAATAATAATGTTGTAATAATATAATGATATTCTTAACACATTCTTATCATTTTCCATGATTTAATCGGGATTTTCAAGACCCAGGCGAATTTTCAGTTTTAAATTATTCTGTCTTAAATTCGACCTCTGCGAACTTAGCACCTGACTTTAAGAAAAAAATTTTTTTTAACACGTATTAAATTAAGCTCAATTTGTATCCGTTTGTTTAAGATTTAACTATAAAGATTTAACTTTAAATTTGAAAAAATGCTAGCACCCCACTTTGAAATATTTAAAATCTATAAACAGGTGCTGTTTCGGGATCGTTTGTACCACCATCGGTTTTGTTTATACTTAAAGAAGTAATTGTAGCGAATTTTCAAGGGTGAGAGCCTCATATTTGTTTGATTATGTTTCAAGATTGAAATAGCTTTCGATGTTCACTAAACTGGATAAGTATTTAAAAAATCATAAAAAAATACTTAAGCACTAAGATCAGCTTTAACCGAAAACAGATCTATTTCTCTTACGGGGATCTTAAAGTGAAGTTTGAACTTCGACGAGATTATTTTACCAATAAAATGTGTCACTTTGACATATATTTATATATTACTACACCAATATCTCATGCACACAAGAGAAAAAAAGTAATTACGAAACAAAAATTATTGCGTTTAGTCGATAATACAGACGACTTTAGAATCCTCTTAATTGAAAAAAAAATATAATATCACGCGTTATCACCGAAACGGACGGGGGTACAAACGAATACGAACGGATACGAACGACCTCGAAACAACACCTGTTTATAGATTTAAAATATTATATCTCAATGTGGGTGCTGATATTTTTTTTTCAATCCTTTATACTTTTCAATCCCTTGAGGTACAAACGAAAAGGAAGGTGGTACAAATCGAGTTTAATTTAATGCGTATTAAAAAAAATTTTTTCTTAAAATCGGATTCCAGATTCACAGAGGTTCAAATTCGAACATATAAAAAAAATGAAAAATGGATCATGTCATTGTAAAATTGTATTCTTGAATATTGAAAAATGGTGCCAGAATTTTTTTTAGATTTTTTTTTAGAACTTAAAAACTTTTAAGAACTTTTTGAAAGACACAATCAGGCACTAGTGACCTGAACTAGGAAAACGTTGAATTGTGGAGGGTTAATTAGGTACAGTATGCTATAATTGCATTGAATTATACTTACTGCAATAAAAATAAGGCCAAATGTTATTAATGCTACAGTAGTGAAAAGTACAGTTACCATTGCAAAGGGTCGAACTGTAAGGGCTACCTCTCCCGCATATCTAAAAATCATTTGAAATATTTTGTCTCATATAAGGGATAATAATATAATATCTATTTAAATAGATAAATAATTTTAATTTTAACAGTTAAATATATATAACAAAATTTCAATATTTTACACATACAATAAAATTTTCATTTCACATTCTCTAAAAAGATGTCTTACTTGATTAATTTTTGATGCTTTTCGATACATTTCGCGAGATTATAGATATTCGTAATTGTTCGGAACTCTTCAGTCAATAATTTAAATCTCGCTGAAGCCAACCAGAGCAAAAGCGCCATGAAAGCGTTAACACATAAATGTGCAGATATGAACAGACCAACTATGATCTGATGGATATACGTAATAGCCCTTAACGGTTGATGAGACGCATCAAATGGAAATTCAGCAGCTGTTGGAAGCGGCTGATCTAGCATGACAGGTCCGATGAAAAGGCCGAAGAGACTCATGTAGAATAAACTTATGCAAAAACCATAAAAATTGGAATACTTATCAACATATTCCCGCTGAACAATCGTTTCTTCGTGAGGCTTGATCAGTGCGCAAAAATTTTCCATTTCGAGAGTAACATACTACAATTAATTAAAAATATATTATTCCGATTCATAATACGTGAGAAGAAAATTTTATTTTTCAGAAGCAGAATCTGTATTAAATACTTGTAATCGTTGATAAATAATTAAGTGACACCAAATGTTGCCAATAACGTGGCAAAGCGTGACCAAAGAGAACAATGATCTCATAAAACTATCGAGATCATTGGTATTCTTATTCTTCACAAGACCATATATTACCGACGCTATTACGCCTGTAGTCATTAATATACAGATATACTGATATAGCTTCACGCACAGAATTTTGCATTTAGAAGTGCCTAATGGTAACGGCCAAAACCATATAACAAACAGACTCAATTTCATGATGGCAATCGTCTTCTTTAGCGTTACTCTCTCTTGCATGACTACGTTTTAAATTACGTACAATTGCAATTCTGTGAAAAGTTTTACTTAAGAAACTATATACTGTCTTGAAAATCTTTTCTTTACATCAGATACACACTATTTCAATAATATTCTTACAAAATGTACGCTAGGTGAAAGCGTGGAAAAACCGATGCCAAAACGTATTGCATCAGTTATCTTTAATGTAAAAAGAGTATGCGTGCATACGAAAACAAGTTGATGTAAGATTTTATTACAGTTCTACTGAAATATAAAATGTCGATTGAAGAAAAATTACAAAATGGATGTGATATGAGACATATATGCATTCTTCTCTGCGTATTCTTTGAAAACGTTAAGTGGCAGAAAATAATTTATTAGCTATGCAGAACCTGAAATGTGAGTTGTGGTGTTACATAGCAGCTGTTTCCCGCACTGTTGAAACATTGATGAATCTTCTAACGTACCTTAATTGAGACATGAGTGAAATGAGTGAAAAGTGAAAAAGAAATTCTCTTATATTCGCGGACAGTCTAGTGTAGTCTATAAACTTATACAACGCAAAAATTATTTCTCAAACAGATAATTTAGTCTATTCTTAGCTTTCAATTTCAGTTTTCCTAAGTTAAAATAGTAGTTTTCAAATTTATTATTTTTTCTTAATTTAATATTTTTATTATTGTATATAATTACATAAGTTATAAAAATAGGTAAAGTAGTTTGTCTATTTGCAATAGAATAATACATTTTTTAAAACTTTAATAAGGAATTTTTAACAATAAATAATTACAAGTAAACTATCAATTGACTAGGCAAATTATTAATAAAAAAAGCTAAATCCTACGAATTGTGCTGTATGAGAATATATTGTCCAAAATTAAATTATAATAATTAAGTAGGTATCTTTGAAAAAGTGTTAACCATGTATCCAACCATTATTCGTGCTTTCGAATAATAAATCTAATTAAGATATCTCTCTCTGATTTTTATATACTAAGAGAAAAGTGTTTGATGTGTATTTGATTATATAATTGTATATTAAAATATTATGGTTAAGAGTTTTATTTTTGTAGTTACGGTTATAATGTTAGTAATATTATATAATTATACAAAATGAGTTGAAATTTTATAATCGTTTTCATATATTCTTTTTGTTATATATATAACCATATTCTCTTAATTATAATATTAACTATGCAATATATTATATAGAGTCAGAAATATTAAAAACCTTTTTTCTCAGTGTAGTAGATAATATTACTACTAAATAAATTATTATGTGAGTAATATTATTATTATTTTGATCATATTGTTATAAGAAGAGACTATTTTAAATAGAATGCGCATAAAAACTTGTATATACTCTTGTGTGCGCGTTTTTCGTTTTGAATATGAAGATGTTGCTTAACAGCTCCATCCATACAAGTAAATTCCACTGAAGTGTTTATATATAATGTATTATTAGTATTATATTGGCTGCGTTCGAAAATGTGTAATGTTAAACAAGGACAAGATGATGAATCCAAGGCATCCGAGCGACATTTCCGAACGCAGCCATTGTGCATTCATAGCACGCAATAATGTATGACAATTATGTTCAAAATGTTAAAATTGCAATTTATTTTCCAAGAAACGAATTTGCCGATATCAGCGTCAAGTTACATGCACTATTACACATTTATATACTATTACACATTTGTAAAAAATGAACTATCTGAATATAAATTTCGTATATAATAATTTCATTATCTGAACAATTCGGATCGTTTGCAAGGATCAAGAAGCACCATTTACTCTCTTTGACGAATAGAATATTTCTAAAGAAATTGGAAATGAGAGTAATTAAATGTAAATCAATAGTTCATATGCTAAAAATTGCGATTGTCATGGGAATATATAATGTTAAACAGTTGACTAATAAATTATTCCATCTAGAAATAAACAATATAATATCTAAAAATAAACGGTTATTTATTCAAGTGAGTAATTAATTGTATTGATTACAAACGGAAACAACATTATATAGGATATCATCTGAATATTTTAGCTTGAATTTAGGGAAAAACTTAATTAATTCTGGATAAAAGCATTTCAACATATACGTGTACAAATAGTTTTTTTAAAAACCTGTTATTTTTAGAGAACGTAAAATGCTATTTTTGTACACGTCCGTTGTATGTATATTAAAATATTTAAAAATAAATATATATTAAATTCAATATAATGGTATATCTATTTTTTATTTAGCAATATTTATGTGATTGATATTATTTTGATAAACATAAAAGTTACATATTGATTTGTAAACATAATTTTATAAAATAATTTATTTCAAATTGTATAAAATTTCTACTTAATTTGATTTTTTAACGCGGATTAAAACGGAACTTTGTAGCATTCATTATCTACAAGTTATGATAACCGATGATAATGCTAATAAAGTTATCGACATCCGCTAGTATGATCGATCGAATACAAACAGGTAAAATAGTTTATAATGTTTTAATGCAAGTGATGTAATAATATCATAATAAATATCAATTATTAAAAATTTAATAATTTACATTTTTTTATATACAAATTGTTTTATGTTACTTTACTAACAATGGGTAATATTACTTTTGCCGATAAAGTATTCTTTCAAGTGGTTGACTTATACCGTCAGACGATTAGAGACTAATAAATCAATAAATGTGGGAGTAGCATCCATATCTTTTATATAATATTTATTGCTATAATTTAATATAACTTCCGATTCTCTAACTAATTCACAATTGACAACTTATGTCGACAAAAGTTTCGAAAACATCTTCCCGAGTTTGCAACTCGGTAGCATTTAACCATTCAGCGGTTCGCACTAATGCAAACACAAGTCTTAACGCGACGTACTATCTTCTCGGCAACAAAGTACTCTCAGCTTTCACAACTTCGGCTTATACGAGTTCTGTTAATTAGTGCGTTGCACCACTATCGGTATTATTTCGTTGTGATTTCATTTCGGATACTATTGTCGCGCGCGAAGTTATGACACGAAATAATAGATTCTCAGAGAGTAAAGAGTACTCTCGAAATCTTCGAATAAGCTCTTCTACAAAACATAAAATCCGGCTGCTTAAAGAAGCGTTTCGAATTTGCAATGCACTCTGAGAAGTGGCGAATTCGCGCTTAGTGCATTTCTGATCATAACCACAGAAGTTTGAGACCGTATTAAACTTTATATCACTATCCTTCGAAGGAAGAGCTTTATGTATGGCTTTATACATATTGTCTTGTGGCCACATTGTGGCACAAATTTACGAATAACATTGTTATATTCAGGGTATGCTAAATATTTTTTTTTTAGATCGGCGAATCTTGTTTTATTATTGCTTACAGTGTTTTGTTCTAATATAAATCAGCAAAACTGCAATATTTGTCTAATTTTATTAATTGTATATTATTAGTTATACAGAATAGATATCATTGAATTCTTGTTATAACAGGGTTTTGCAACCGATGTGTCACAAAAAAATTTTTAAAAAGAGAGAAAGAAGTGAAAAAATTTAAAAATAATAAAGCGACTAAGATGCCAAATCATGTTTAAAAAAATTATGAAAATTATTATTGTATATTATTGATATTAAATTCTGAATACTACGTAAGTATTATGTGGATATTATCTGTTAAAAATTTAAAGATGCTCAGAAAAATAAAAATATTAAAGATTTAATAATTAAAATACTAGAGAAAGCTAAAAAATTAAAATTACCGAAATTTTAATTACTTTTTGATTAAAAAAATAGAATTTTAACCCAAAATTTCTAATATTCCAAATATTAGAAATTTGATAAACGGTTATTTGATAAGCGGACTACGTTACATATGAATGCAGTTGTAATTAAAACTTTTATTTGGCCTCTGATTCAAAATCAATTTCAGTGAATATTTGAAACGCAACCATTTCGGCGTTCTCTGATACATTGAGAAACTTTATCACCGATTGTATTTTGGTTGATACGACACGGCGGTTTGTTCGTTTCGATTGCTTTTGTGTGCGCATCGATGTAGTAACATGAATCTTCTAGTTATATAGTACGCAATATGTATAGAACAGAATTTGTAAAACAATCATCATTTTAATTTTCTTGTATACAAGATAATTCGACTCTTACTGCAAAAGATATTTAATATGTATGATTGTTGAAAGCTTAAATTATGCTAAAAAGAATATTGTATAAAAAAAAACTAAATTATTACATAAACATTACATACTTTAATTTGCCAGTAACATAAAACAAAACAAAACAAACGTTTCCCTGTTAGATCATTATCAGTGTGAACAAAACTAACATTGGAAATATTACATAGATAAGATATATAAAAATTAAAATTCGCTCTCGATCGCAGTATTAAATTTTTTACTTTTTAACTTGTTTCTGTTAAAAAATACAAATATAATGTAAAATTGTAATGGGAACAAGCAATACAAATCTAATAAGAAAAATACAAACTAAGAAACAAGGAATAAAAATAAAAATAAAAAAGTAAAAAAGTAATCTAATATTATATTATGAGAAATGTAACTTAAAGT